GAATAGAGTAGCGGCATTGATGGGGTGGCTGTTTGAATAGAGTAGCGGCATTGATGGGGTGGCTGTTTGAATAGAGTAGCGGCATTAATGGGGTGGCTATTTGAATAGAGTAGCGGCATTTATGGGGTGGCTACTTGAACAGAGTAGCAGCATTTATGGGGTAGCTATTTGAATAGAATAGCGGTATTGACGGGGTAGCTGTTGGAACAGAGTAGCGGCATTGATGGGGTGACTACTTGAACAGAGTAGCAGCATTTATGGGGTAGCTATTTGAATAGAGTAGCAGCATTTATGGGGTGGCTACTTGAACAGAGTAGCAGCATTTATGGGGTAGCTATTTGAATAGAATAGCGGTATTGATGGGGTAGCTGTTGGAATAGAGTAGCGGCATTAATGCTACTCTGTTCAAGTAGTCACCCCATCAATGCCGCTACTCTATTCAAATAGCCACCCCATCAATGCCGCTACTCTATTCAAACAGCCACCCCATCAATGCCAGCTAGGTGTGCTACGATTGAAGGCGTACGTGAAGGGTCATATAATTTCACACGGTGGGCCATTTTAATGTTCTATTTGTAGGCTTGATGCGAGCCCAACTTGCCTGACGATCTCTACACAGCCTTATTTCACAGTGACAGTCATGCCAATTCTACTTCTTTGTTCCAGGAGTAGCATTATCTCCTCTAAGCTCTCTACCTTTTTGTTAACAAGCTATTTTCTACTTCTATTTTCCCTACCTTCCGCTCTAAATTCACATTTGATGCTTTCAAGTGGTCCAAAGTTACCCTTAAATCATCAATTAGTCCAATAAACATGTGTAGTGAGTTTTCAAATTCCGAGATTTTTGTGTCCATATTTGCTATTGGTGTCTTTATATCTTTAATTATATCTTTAATAGCGACCCCGTATAGATACGGGAAAAGCTTCTGAAGAAGAAGAAGTCTTTATATCTTTAACTCCCTTCATCATACTCTTAAAGTGTTTATTACTTACAGCTTGACACCCCTCCTTACAAGTTTGGCAAATCAAGTTAGCTTTCCTTGCACCAAGTTTCACTAAATTCTCCACCGTTTTGATTAGAATGCATTTTGCATGAAAGTATTCAAAACAGTCCATGCACGGTATTATTTCTTTTGGATTTTTAAACTCGACTTCACACGAAAAACACTTCGATACACCATTCAATATAAATTTAATTTCCATAAAAAGTACAGTATTCTTACCAACAGTATATAGGTGCGATGGAAAAAAAAATTCTTAAGAGATACCAACTATCACCAGTATAAGCAAAAAAAAAGCAATTTGTTTAGAAGATTATAATTACAAATTATAAATAAAAAAACACATAACAAGTACGTAGAACCCACACGATATTAGGTAACTGTTTCATTAATAATCCTATCAAAATAATTAGAGATAATCACTTTCTTTCTCTTAGAAACACAATAAAATGCAGCTACTCTATTCAAACAGCCACCCCATAAATGCTGCTACTCTATTCAAACAGCCACCCCATCAATGCCGCTACTCTATTCAAATAGCCACCCCAGCAATGGATTAAGGCTGTCAAAGACAAAGATTTATCTGCTAAGG